TTATAGCAGAAATATGCAGAATTTATTTCTTCATTGTCTTAATTTTCTTTGAAAGGGCTTTCAAATAGCTTCAATAAGAGACAGGATCATCCAATGCTGAGAGCTGAGCACTGAGATTTTTGATATCTTTATTTTAATCTGAGCACTAGGAGTAGTAGTTTTAGCAGAGCTTTTTAGATGGGGACAGGTTACAACTGAGCATACTTTAGCACTCAAGGGAGACAAGAAATACCCAGGCTTTTGGGAATAAACTTAGAGAATTAAGGGGTCACTCCTGCAAGATGCTGAGTGAGTCCACAAAAGGAATTAAAAGTGGCAGATTTGGCAGTCTGCCCCACCAGCTGCAAATACTTCCATCATTTGTGGTAGGAAGGATAACTACCTTTCAGATTATGGGTTATCTGAGACACATTTACTCAGACTATTATCTCCCCTCATTGCGCACTGCATCAGTAGTGATCGTTTTATGGTATCAAGTGCCATACAACAATTTGTCATATGTGTTGTCATTTCACCTAGTGCCTGGATGGAGCAGGGTGCTGGGGGAGAGCAGAGTTTGGAATAGTGTTATCCTGAAAAGCGTAGGCTTTTAATAAGTGAGGGTAGACGCTACTTTCAAACAGTTTTTCTAGGACCACTTGAACAACCATGCTGGGTCAAACTAAAAGTCCCTTTAGCTCTCCATCACCTACCTGACAACACTTTATAGCAGAGATCTTAATGAACAAATAACAAAAGCAGAGCAATGCCTCCCCCCTACACCTTTCTGTCTTCCAGAGAGCTAAGACAGAGGTCAAATCTCTGACTTGGATAGCCTCTGATAGATTTTTCTTCCATTATTTGTCTAATTATCTTTAGAGCTCTGATACTCTTTTGTGTACTGGGCACTGAGGCAGTACAATTCAAAATTCACTTAGGCATTATGTGAGAAATCACATCTTTTTAATGGTTTCAAATTGACTGCTTGATAATGTCATTTGATAACCCCCCTTCTTGGACTGTGAGATACAGTGAGTAATTGTCCCCTATTCACATTCATAGTGCCACTCATAATTTCATTTACCTTTTATTAGATTCTCCCCACAACTCTCACTTTTCAGACTGAAGAGTCATAGCATGTGTAAACTTTGTGTATTCAACTTTCCTTCAAGTGCAACCCTTTTGATAACTGCTGTTTATGTTAGTACGTGACACTGACAGTCTGTGTAACACACATGGTTATTGGGGTGTGACAAGAGAATTGTTTTAATAGGCAGGAGAAAACCTGTAGAATTCACTTTCTGCCCCTAAATTTTCAAGAATAAAATATACAAAATACAAAAATGTTCATTTTGATATAATTGTATGCTGGTTTTTTAGTTGATATCTTTATGATATTACATCATAAAAGCATGAAAAGGCATCATTGCAGGGAGATCAACAAGGGATGTACTGAATGAATATGGTTAACTGAGGCTCATTTCTTTTGCTTTTTCTGTGTATTAAAACTCTAATTTGTGGTAATAGTACCTCAAGGGCAACATTATTTGGTGGTGTGGTGGAGTTCTCCCATTCTGTAGAAGTGCTTATGCAGCATGCTGAGAAGATGAGATTTGTTCATGCTAAGCACTACCTTCTCACAAGTGAACTGCAAGGTTACCACAGGCTGCTTAGAAAGAAAATCTCAGTGTGTAGTCCTAGATAATTGTGGTGTTATCTTGTGGTTCCTTCATAGTTAAGTATGGTTATAATGCTGAAGGAATGCGTATTTGAGCAAAGGAAACAGGGACCATGCAATAACCTCACAAACACTTTCACAGACAGGGACTGCCAAGCAAGTTAAGTAGTTTGTGAAAAAAAACCTGCCCGTGAAATCCTTATTCCACGTCATGCTGTTCTGCAGTCTGCATTCAGCGTTTTTTGGGGTGTTTTTTTTTAAGAGAGAAGAAAACAGAGTTTTCTTTTAAATGCTATTTAAAAACCACAGGGCTCAGTCATGTCCTGACAACTTGGCCCAGCACTGGAGGCGGTGGGGATGTGTCCTGAGCCCTCTCCAGGCAGCACAGGGCTTTCAGCAACTGAGGAGGAAGGGATGGAGGGGAAGGGCGGGCGTTTGGCTGGAGCAGCAGAGCTGGCCGCCTTCAGAATCGGTGCCAGGGGACGTCAGCTCTCCATTTCCAGCTGGTACAAACAGCATCATGCCTGCAATTTACACTCGGTGAGAATCATGAGTCATTATAGTAAAGGTGTAGTTTTTGAGTTAGTCTAAACTCTCACCTCAGTCTAAATGCCTCTGGGGCTCTGTTCCTGTTCTCCAACTGGGTAACAGATTGTGAAAGTTTGCATTAGACAGGCACAATAAATGCCAACTGCTAAAATGGGTAGTTCTTGTAAGGCCTTGGACTCCGAAGGATTTGTTTTATCACAAAAAGAAAGGCAAATGTGTGAAATTAATCACTGATTGTGCAAAACTGACAGCCAGCTTCCTTGGTATATGGATACAGTCGTACACTGAGTAATTCTGTGTGAAGGAAAAGACGAACCGCAGTGTGTTTTCACTTCAGCACATCAGACTGTATAGTAACACACTAAATATATACATTCATAGTCCAGCAAGCACAAGTTAAAAATGCCTTAATATAAACTACAAGCTGATAGCAGAAATTGACCTAATAACCCCCTCACAGTGGGTGCTGGTATCACATGAAGAGCTGTAGAAGTCACTGGTATTTGCATTAGTGATCAAGGGGAAGGCCAGAACTCAACCTTGACAAACAATACAAACTCGTCAGTGACACTGAAGGACTGAAATGTTCATTCAGACGGGGCTGTTTCAGGTAATGAAATTCAATATATGCCAAGCGAAACTACTTAAAGTCTTCTTGTGTACTGAGCGTTGCATATTCATTCTTTTTCCTCTTTCAGTTACCTCTGTTGATAAGTACTAATATTTGCACTGAATCTATTGTGCTGAAATGAAAAAGAGGCTGAATCACATCCAAGGTTAAGGTAGTTGTTGGGAAGCTACGTTGTATCCAAAGGGAAATTCTGCTGGGAAACCAGAACATCTGCTCCACCAAGTAGAAAAACAGTTTGAAGCAAATGCTGTACTGGAATGTTCTTACTGGAGCTGATGATGTGGCTAACAGAAACAAAAAGCAATATATGACTCAGTTCTCCACAGGGAACTTCTAAGGTCTGGAAAAAACATTGCATTTTCCCTTGTTTCATTAACGGGGATGGGAGGGGTTAAAAGTTTTGTGATTATGGATGGCATAGGAAGGGAAGGGCATGTTGCGTGGTACTTTGAGCTCTGTTTCAGATTCCTGCTGTGATTCAGCAAATCATTTAAGAGATTCAGAAATAATTACTGCTCAAAGATGTCATTTAGTCCACATGTCCCAAATGATTACCTTTCCTTCTGGGACAGCCTTTTCTGTTTAAAATGTGGCTAATGATACCTCTTACAGGATTGTTATGATCCTGTTAATGACAGTAAATCAGGCTGAACTTTTTAGATAGGAGACATCAAAAAAGTGTAATACTGTTGTTATGGCTGTTACTATTGCCTAATGTAGATTATGCTGTCAGTAGTGCTGGGAATGTGACAATTCAGCCTAAATAAACCCAGTGTAATGCTGAAAGTCTAATTCTTTACAGCAGCACCTTAGCATTGCGTTAGCGAGCAAGATATTGTAGTAGCAACCTACAGGGGACCATCCTGAAAGGAAAAGTCCCACTGCTAACTGTACTGTAGAAGAAAATGAGACCAACTCAGTGCAGATCTGTGCAGCAACTGTATACTTTCATCAGAGATAATGCAATCCAGCAGCAAAGCCTTAGATCTTTGTTTTGCTAGCCCTTTTTTTCCTCTGCCCAAAAAAAAAAAAAAAAAAAAAAAAAAAAAAAAGGCAATATATTATTGAAGACCAAAGAAACTGATTTTCTGAAAGGGAGCCAAAAAGATTCTGATGTAATCACATCTTTCGAGGCATGCCCAGCCTTACAGACAGATAAATTAGTCTGCCCTTGGGCTGAATGTCCTTGGTTGAGAGACCTTTTCAAATGCACTTTCAGACTCTGCTGACATAAAGATTGTCAGAAATAACAGTAGCGAAGCAGAGTGCCAGGGATATTCAGATAGCTGGTTGGGACAGCCAATACAGAATATAATGTTCATGTTCCTGTTCGAAGCTTTTCCAGAGGATTTCTAGAGGAGGGTATGAGAAGGGTTGGAAAGAGAGTCCTCTTACATTAGAAGCTGTCCTCTTTCACTAGAAAGAAAGAGAAGTTTCTTGTCTACATTTCTTCCTCAAGGAGATCTGTTCATTGTGAAGATTCTCTTGTAGTATAACTACATAGGAAACAGTTATGTTTGTATGTTCAGGATGATTTTAGTCAAATACAGCCTAATTTTGAGGCCCAGGGATTATAAATATTTAACAGAGGAGTGAAGCAGATTGTAAAATGCACGTATTTTGTTAGATCTCAGGCACCTATCTATGCATAAGTCTGTGCTTTTCATTGCAAGCTCTTTGGGAGAAAGGAGCTTTTGAAAGATAGTGGTTTTTTGTGTCTGGAGCATTTTCTTTTCTTCACCTCACATCATGTGTACAACATTGTTCCTTTCAATGAGCAAAAAGGTACTGAAAGAGCAAGGGTGATCAGAGAGGCCTACAGCAAAGAAACCCAATGGGATCTCTTGACCTAAGCATGCTGGACTCTGTCACATTATCCCATTGATGGGAGAGGTTGAATTCCCACTGAACTAGTGAGAGAGCAATGTATTTCACTTTGTATAGGACAGAATGGTACTACCAGTCAAGCCAATAGGAGGTATTGTTTTGGTGCACCTCACCTTGCAGCCTTTCAACAGTTAAGCCAACCTGCACTGCTTGGAGGAAAAGAGACTGAATAAACTGATACCTTTCTTTTTCTTTCCCAGATCACCTGCTTCTTGGACAAAGGGGAGAAAGGCAGCATCTGACACTTTTCTTTTTCTTTTTCTTTTTTTTTTCCAGATACAGAAGAATAAAAATATATAAAAAAAGAGACTGCAAATTTATTTCATCATTTTAGCTGAGCTTCTTCATTCCTGTTCTCCTCCTCCTTCTGCAAAGACCAGTTTCTGGGGAAGGCGTTAAACAACTTTCAAAACACTCCTCCTCCCACTGGCTACTTCACAGTTAATGACTCTGGGTTCTAGGGTGGGGGCCTTGTTTTTTTGGGTCAGTTTTATTTTTGTTTGTTTGTTTTTTTTGTTTGTGTATGTGTGCATTTTTTGTTGTTTTGGGAAGATTTTGTTAAAAAACAAAAGAGGTGATTTCCTGATGCAAATGGTTCTGTTTTTCTGGACAGGTCAAGTAAATAGATGAGAGTCATCTTCAAAAGCTGGTATGGCCCTTTCCTATGCCTCAGCTTGTGAAACCAACATTAGGGTGATGCGAAAGAAAAAAAAAAATTTATAATACTCCACTTTTTTTACTCTATTTTTTCCCCTGAGAGCCTTTTCCAATTGCTGGTAGACAGAATCTGACATCAGTTTTACCCTCACTGTAGAAGATTTTATTAATAAGAATGGTGAATTTGTAGAATCGTTTGACCATTTGTTAGGATATGATGTCTTTACCAGATGATGCAATGATAGCAAAACCTTTTTGTTTTTCAAACAGCAGGCAGACTCACTCAACCCTTGTTTTTGTTCTGGTTTTGCAGTTAGTAGTAGGAAAGGAATAATCGATGAAAGAGGTATTCCCACAGGGCTGATTTTATTGTCAGATTCTGAGAGCATGTAGTAATGTACTGCTTGATTTGCCTGCCTTAACTTGAGATTACAGATAATGAGCTGTTTCCCACATTTGTTCATGGGCTACTAGTAACCACTATGTCGGACCTAAGAGAAGAAGGGCAGCAGGGAATCACACGAATCAATTACTGCTTTCATCTCAGTGTGGTCTTTCTTCCATCACTGACTGAATGGACAGGCCAAAGAAAAGGAAAAGTGTGGCTGGAGATGTATGGAGAGACAAAACCAAAATGAAAAATTGTGTCCTAAATGCACCGCTGGAGTCAGTGGATAAAATTGTCTCATCCAGTGGAGTTTCACACATAGGAAGTAGCCATCATTTTGGCCCCTTTTAAAAATAAAATATTAAAAACTAACTCACTGAGGCCTTGATTCAGGAAAGTATCTTTATATGAGAAATGTCATACATGTATGTAAGTGCTTTTCTGGCTTGGGGTCTTGGCAGAGATCCACTTAATTGTAAGTCATGTTACCTGTCTATGTGGAAATCAAGGCACATACATACACATACAACTGGGTTATTTTGCCTAAGTCTTTTTTGTTGAGGGTAAGGTCTTGTTGTGTTAGTTGTATATGTGTTCTACAAGGAATCAGACTGCTCTCATGTAGAGAACATGCAAGACATTGGCTTAGGGAAGGTAAATCTTCCGTGTTTCCTTTTCGCATTCAAAAGCACAGGACTTTATCACCAGCCTATATTAGAGCTTGAGTCTCTGTTCCTACTTAAACTGTGCATGTACAGGGACAAGCTTCCCGTGACACTAGGAGAAATCACAGCAGTGAGCTTAGCCTAAATCCACATTTAAATGTGAATACCTTCTCACTCAGGAGTATTTGTATTTGGGATTTTGATTATTGAGGCTAGAGATATTTTGAGGTCTTTTTTTGGACACCAGCGTTTGAGTTTGTTCAAAGCTAGAGATTTAGATTAGGTTCATACTGTGAAAAGGTTGCACTTCAATCACATGTTTTCAGAAGGAAGAAGTACAAAAATAACTCTTGTGGTTCTTAGAACTCATAGTTGGCTTCACTGGAGCAACTAATTTAAATAAAATAAATGTAAGGGCACATAGTGTTCCCATTGTGAGCTCCTGGTTCAATGGTAGCTCTGGGGTAGATTTTCTGAGGAAAGCGGGGTGCTGGGAGGACAGTGGCCCCGCAGCCAGCATTGAGCACGCTCCATGTTGTGTGACAAGCTGTGTCACCACGTAGCACTTTCCCACCTCCCCTTTTCCCCTCCTCCATCAGCATTCAACCCCGATAAGAGTGGTAGAATATGACTTCCAGCTCTGACCATGCTCTTTGAAGGCACATTGATGAAATATGCAGAGCTGAATACCACAGTGGTGATTCAGTCCCTGCTTCATCTGGCTTCTCCCTGAAGTCAGGGAGAACATACCCTCACTGAGTGGCTGGTCAGAGGTACAGGATGAGTTAGTCAATATTTTTTAAGTTACTCTTACCTAATGTACAGTGACTAAAGATGCCTTAGATTATGCACAGTAGAATAATAATAATTTTAAAAACCTGAATCTTCATCTGTTTCTGATAATATACTTTCTTTTCTTTCTGGGAGTGACTGCTTTTAGAGAGCAAAGCCAGACTGCTTGATTCATGGCTGGTCAGTTCTTGTTTCTCATGCACTGGCACAAAGGTGTGAAATCAGACTGGAAAATATTCTTCCTCAGTGTTAGGGTTGTTCCCCACTGGCAGAAGCTGATAACTAAGTGGTGGATTTGCCATCTCTTGGGGACTACAGATCAGAGCTGCCATTCTAGAAGAGATGCTATGGTCAGAGTTACTGATCTCAGCACACAGGTATGCAGCAAAATGTTTTGCAATATGCAGGCAGTCAGAGCTAGCTCTTAACATTCTCCTGCTCTTTTAAAATCATTTGGATAAACTACAGAGGATTAGTAGCGTTTTTAAGAATTTTTTGTCATGCGAAGAAATGCCCATGAAATCTATTAACTTGGAAATATATAAAGTGAAAGGAAAATCTAGAAATTGAAAACCTACAAAGAGACTAGGCCAGATGAAAGCATCTATCGTGGGGTCCCCTCCCAGGATCACACCTACATTCCTCTATTCTGCCTCCCCACCTCCTGAGAACACTCTGCAGCATTGTGCTAGTGCATTGTGAGCCAAGGAATGGTATGTTTAGACACCTCCCAGTTAAACTAGAGATCAGCCACTGTGCAATTGTGTAAAAAAATAATAAATATTTTAAAAAATATACAAAACTGCTTTCTCTTATTTTATTCCACAAAATGAAACTACCAAAAAAAAAAAAAAAAAAAAAAAAAAAAAAAAGACGGAAAAGGAGAAGATGTTCATCAGCTAATGGCCTGTGTTTACAGAGTGAGAAAGAATTTCTGGTTTTACATCCTTACCTAAATTTCCCCAGATGTATTGAAATTATCTTTTCAGATGCCTTCCTTTTCCATCTGCAGTAAGACTATTCAAGCAATGAATAAGTCAGAAATTCTGAAAATTTAAGGCCCGTGCCATTGGCCTCATGCTGAAATTCTACAGAATTATTTGTGAGGACCCACCAGTAGGCACAGGCTGGGAAGCTGTGTGATAAAAGACGGCGCTCTTCTGCCTCTGCGCAGGGACTGCTGGTGCTCCCAGAAATCTCTGCCTTGCTGGAAGAGCACCAGGCATCTTCTGCTTCCCAGAAACTCTTGTGTAACTTGAGAGGGAGAATCCAGGCACATTACCCCCTTAAAATAGGAAGGAATACCTTTGCAAGTATCCCTGTCAGTGCTTTTGCCTTTAGTTGGGACTGGTGTTCAGGGAATTAGCAGACCTTTGACTCATGGTGATGTAGTGCTTGAACTCTTGGACACACTATAATTAAAAATAAAAAAAGAAAGAAAAGGAAGCAGTATGTTTTTATAGAATCATAGTATCATAGAATCGGAATAGTTTGGATTGGAAGGGACCTTTAAAGGTTATCTGGTTCAACCCCCATTTTCAACTGACATCTTCAACTAGATCAGGTTGCTCAGAGCCTGGCCTTGAGTATTTCCAGGGAGGGGGCATCTACCACCTCTCTGGGCAACCTGTTCCAGTGTTTCACCACCCTCATTGTATCCTGTTAATTATTGAAATGGCCCAAAGGGTGACAGTACTCTGGGCTGCCCTCAATCAGTGTTTTGAACCTTGCATTTCTGTGACAACATGCAAGAAGAGTTCACACATGTAAAAGAAGGGATTTGTATATTTTTTTAATTAATTGTTTTTAATGCAAAAACATGTGAGGTACGCTCTCAAAATGCTTAAGTCAATCAGCTTTCCTTACAAACACATGATTTTTTTTCAAAAGTTATATGGTCAGAAGTCTATGTTTAGTTGTAAAGAGATGATGGATGTCACTACTGTTTTCCATGTTGGACAAAAAAGATAGATGCCAGAAGGCAACATTTTTTTTTTTTTTCCAGATGATAAAATATGTGGTAGATTAAAAAAAGAAATTTTGCAATTTTAAACTTAAAACATATTTCAGAGTAGTAAATCCAGGCAGACTGATGTTTATGTAAAAGTGCAGCCTTTTGTATAGCTCCATCTGGTGTAAACACACTATGTATTAATACATTAGGACATTTAGCCATCAGAGTTAATTTGGAATTTGGAAGCCTGGTCCCTGATGGGCGAATGAAAGAGACAAATTCATTTTTCTTGATGTTTCTTTTTTCGAGCATAAATTTTGTAGTTGGAGAGAAACTTTCCAAAATGTAGTTGGTTATGCCAGAGAAAAATGGTATATGGTGGTGTTTTTTGCAAACTACCCTTTAAATATGCCAATGTTTGTATATGTACTTACAGAGTCTTATAAACTCAGTCTGGAAGCAAAAATATTTCAAACTAGATAGCTGATAGTGCTGTGCTGCTTTGTAATCAGAAAGTCCGTGAGCTCACTTAGCTAAAGGCAAATACTTCTGCTGTTAGTCCTTGCAAATTCTATGGTGGGTCCCAATCATGACTTTTAATTAAAAAGTACAATAACCTATTCAAATTAGAAATTATGGAATCTGACAAGGACAGTACTTTTTTTTGCTTCAAGTAGATAAACTAGTCCATCTCCAGGAACTCATGAGATGGTCCTAAGTATTTCTTATTGGCTTCTTTTTCATCACATTTCGTTTTATAATAATAAAACTCATCATCCTGTGCTAGCCACGTTAGCTATTTGTACTCAGCAGATGACAGCATAATCAAGTCCCTCTCTGTTACTCTTAATCCATCACCTCACCCAATAACTGCAAACAACAGAGCGATCCTGTGCTTTTGCACATGCTGATGTCAGAGCTGTGCTGGTGTAGTGTCTGAACATCAGCACTCAAAAGCAGGAACATCTTGGCTGAGGATGGGAAGGAGCCCTGCAGCACCGACTCCATGGAAATTGTTCTGGGGAGTGGGCAACAGTGCTGGCCAGCTAGAAAGGAGGGAAAAAAACATGCTTTCACATTTTAAGGCATAAATTCAGCTCCATCCAAAGTGGGTACAGAGGTTTTTCCCGCTTGTGTTACCTACAACATGAGCAGGTCTGCTCCAGTCTCCGTTTAGTGTCAGGTGTGCGTCCTAACCTAGTGCTCCCCCTGCTTCCACAGGCAGACAGTTTTGCAACCCCAGACAAACATTTCTTGTCCAATTACTGTGATCAAAGCAGGAGCAGGGCAGGTCACTACTGCCCGTGCCATTATCTTCTGTTAAAATGAAATGCTGGGCATGCATTTCCACTTGCTGAGACTGCCCTCTCATTGCCGCAATGTCCCTTTTGATCCCCAGCAAACACCAAGGGTTCTGATCTGTACCCAAGCAGGACTGGGACTTTGAGGCATCAGATCTCTCTGCTCTGGTGACTTAACTACCGGGTAGAAGAAAATGAAGCTACTTCCAGACAAGCTGGCTGAGGACCTGAAGCTCAGTTTTAGTGAATTTATTTACCCTCATACCTAAGCACGTGACAGCACTCACTCACAAGACTCGCAGCACACCCTAGGCATTTTGTATTCTTTCAGTTTCTTCCAAGTGCATATGTATTGACTGCTGTGTGCTCGTAACACCCTGGTTTTAGAAGCTACCCAGTGGTAGGAGGAATATACATAATCCCATTGTCTCTGCTGGTGGTCGTAGGAGTACATTCATAAACAAAATTACTCATGGCCATTGGGGTTTTCTAGTGATAAAACCTAGCAGTAGAATGACAGAGGGAGCATTTTCCTTTTCTTCTTGCTTGGATGATATTTTTATACACTTTTATATGCAATTTTTTTAAATATTTGCTATTTTTATTGTAGGGTTCTGGTTGGGTTTTTACCAGACCTTCTGGTTGTCTACAGGCCCAGATTCTCACAGGAGTATTTCCCTTCCCTTTTCTCCTCCCCCTTCTTCCCCAATAGACAAAAGCCATTGCGTTTGCAACATCAGCTTAGAGTGAAATACCACCTAGGGCCTGATCACTCTTTCAGTTGCACTGAAATCAAAGGAAGTTGCATGCAAAGTCCTGCTGGTCCCACCGAGTGTCTGGGGCCAAAGACTAAATAACCGGAACATATACAGCTAATTACGAACAGGGCTGTCTGTGCCAAGCAAAGGCTTGGGGTAGCTCTGTGTTCCTTTGCTGTGGTAGGAGCTGTTGCCGCCACAACGTATTTAAATAAGACTATATCTCTCTCTTTGTTATGATGACGCATGTAGGCACTTCAATCAAAGTCATACCCCAGCTGCACCTACCTTCAGCAGGGAGGAAGGGTCGACATTGTGGCTTGTCTGTGACAGTAGATTTCACTGCTCTTGTGGTTAACCCTATAGTGACAGGCCCCAAATAAAGTTAAGAAACATTAAGCTTATTGGTAGGAAGGATAAGGGGAAATTAAACAAATTCAAGGATCTTGGTCTTGTAAAATAACCTTTTCTCAGCTAGCATTCTGCAGGGAATTCTATGTATGAAGTTTAACATAAACTTTAGAGTATATTTATATTAGCAGAACTGATAATAGAGATGTCTTTCTTGAACTGAACTAAAATAAACAAGACACCTGTTCTCTCACGTTTTTTGAGGAAGATAGAGGCAGGTTATGGTATTTTGCAGCAGGGATAGAAAACATTAAAAAACATGCTGAAAGCAAAAGTCAACATGTTTGCTCTTGAGACAGGGTGGGTAGGGTAATAAAAAACATCTTATTTGGTTTGTTAAGACTCATAAGGAAAAAAAAATGCAAACCCGAAATGAATGATGCCATGTAATGTCAGGTATTCTCAACTGTTCTGAGAATAATTTTAAACAATATATATTTATATTTAGTTCCTTATTTGAAAGAGGAGGCTTGTGGTCTCTAAATGTATAAAACATTTTTCAACATTCCAGTTTTTCTGTAACTGAGTCCATGTATGTTCATCCTATTACCAAATAAAAACAATGAGGTCTCCACTCCATTTGAATTAAAGTTGTAGAGGGGTTCATTTTGTTCTGGTGCTTTCTACATCTGATCCAGACATGGCACTTGCCTTTTGCTTTCCAGCGTCCAGCTCCCCATAAAGTGTAGTGGGAATATTGCTTGGATCACAGTCATGGTTCATCACTTGCCCCTGTGAGGAGGAGTTAGGGGCCTCACCTAATTTCTGAAGACAGGGAAATTGAGGTAGAGACTTCAAATAGCATATTTAAGAACCCCCAGTGTAAATCTCTACCTGTTTGGAGATCAGACATGTCAACCTCGCCTTTCCCTTTTTCTCTTTTGACTGAAATCACAGAGCATAACAGCATCTAAACGAACAACAGCACACCACTCTCGTGCCCACTGAAACACTTGCTCGTGTGATTTTTTTTCTTGTGTGATGAGTATCGATCCCACAGAGCTGGTCTTGTCCTCCAGTACTGGTTATAGACCTGCTTTCACAGCATTTCAGCTACATCTCTACATAGCACTTTCTACAAAGAATCGTAGACTGGGGCAGTGTCTCTGGAGTAGTCATCACTCCACACAAGTAATGACCAGAATTTTCCCTTGCTGTTGCTGTTAAAAAAAAAAAAAAAAAAAAAAAAAAAAAAAAGCTAAAGAGTGGCAGAGACAAAGCCATTCTCTCTAAGGAGGATGTAGAGTTCAGAGATGTTCAATACAAGTGTGAAAGGCTTTGTGTGTTCCCTTTTTCCCTAAATTCCAGTTTTATTTCACTCCTTTCCTCTCTGGGAGGTTCACTGGTCTTGATTCCCTGAAGAACATGTGATGTGCTTGCCACTGTAGCTGCTTGTATTCTTATACCTTACCAGCTTAGTTTGAGTCTGCATGTACCTCCAGTCCAGTGCAAGTAGAGATGAACCCAAGCTGCCAATTTCTGTTAGATATTTACAGTGTTGATATAATTGACTATGATCTTCAAACTGGAAATGACTGCCACATAAACAAGAAGATAGAAAAGATTTTTTGGAAAAGGCATCTAATGATCTGAGTGACTCACCTCTGCTTGCACATCCAGTATCAGAGTCCTTTCTCTGGCATGTGTAGCCCATGACGTAGATGTCCGGAGTTGTTACCAACTGGTGGTCCCCAAAGTGATGTCAGCAGCTTGCTGAACTGCCACAGAAGCAAGGTAGGTGTTGTGTAACTGCCTTCACAGCTGTGCTGGGCAACAAAACTGTCAACTGCCAGTTCTGTGAGGACGCGGAGGTAGCTGAAGGGAAGGCTGTCTGACATCTGGCATCATAGGTCCAAAACTTAAGAATGTGAAACACAGAATCAATAACTCAGGTTTCTCCACCCAAACCCGGTAAATGATAAAAAGAAGAAAGATACATTTATCAAACTTCGACTCCTTTAGATGGAAAGGTCTCCAGAAGTGAGACTACTTTCAAAGTTAGCCTCACCTAAAACCATGGATAAGAAGTGGCAGCAAGAGACAACAAACGCCTTGTAAGTGGTGGCAGCACTACAAAAAGCATTTTCATGGCTGGTGGGACTACCGTCCATCCATTTCTGCTGAATCTACTCTTTCTCTTTAAAGGTCCATCACGATGTTCAGCTGTCTTACGAGGCCTGGGTTCCTCAGCAAAGCACCTTACATTGCCAGGTCAGTTGGTACCACCTCACTCTAATTTGCTTATATGTGCAGCTTTAGAAATAGGCACTCACAGTGCCTTCTGTTTGGGAGATGGACATAGATGACTTCCTCTCCAGGTATGGCGTGACTTTTACACATTACATTAAAAAAGTTAAACGCATTCACTGAAATTGAACAAATGAACTGTTCTTTTTAATGGTCTTTACCGTACTTCAGTTTTTTTAAACAAATACCTTATGTTTTGTGACTTGCAGTGCAGGTTTCACAGACTATTTTAATTCAATCAGCAAATTAATTTGGGCCTTTATCACATGGACTTAGATGCTGAAGGGAAAAAATAAGGCTGTCTTGTGGAAAGAGCATTGGGTTTTTTTGTGCCCTTCCCATCTACCAAATCCTGCTGTCTCTATTTCACTTCGATAACCATTTTCTTATCCCCTTCATCTTTGTTCCACACAACTGTTAGGAGAAAAGGAGGGTTATATGAAGCTGTTGAACACAACAATGTCTTTGCATGAACAATATACTATCTTGCATGTGCATATGCAAGGGCATTCATAGATGTATAATGCACAATAGGTTAAAGAAATAGTAAGTCTGCAGGAAGACAACCATAATTCACCAAGAAAAAACCCTCCAAACTTCAAGCAAAGTGTCAGGAAAGTTTTACTAGAGGTATTTTGATCAGTGCCAGCAGATGAGGTATAGTGTGGCTCCGCATACAGGTGCCAATGCACAGTAGCATGTTGCTGCACTGTTTCAGTTCTCAAAGCTGTTCATGGTGTGATGCTCTTCAGCAGCTGCCACCTTAGCAGATTGTTTCCCCAGGCACAGCTGCAGCCACTGCTTGGGCATAAGAAAAAGAATAAACAGGAATTGAGAGTTCAAAACACTATATTCCCCTAGTAAAACAATGTGCTCCAGGGATTACTGTTCTGCTTGAGAACAAGAATGGACAATCACTGAAAGTAAAATTTAAATGTCTGAACAGCGTGCTCACATCACGTAACCCCAGACTTTTTTAAGATAGAAAGCATGGAACAAGAAATATAAATACATCCCCTTAACTTCTCGAGTTTCTCATCATTGGCAGTGACCGTAAGTATTACCTGTATATATTATTTCTCATAGGGTCACAGCAATTGTTAAATTCTTATATTTGTATTCACAGGAGAGGCTACTACTCTGGATGTTTTCACCCAAGATTTTCTTGCAGGTGGCATTTAGAGGTCTTGCTCTTTGTAGGGATTTTGGAGAGCTCTTGCTTTTTGGAGAAAAAAAATGTTTTAAGGAAACATTGTGGAATGAAACATTCATGTTACGCTACAGCCATAACTCTCATCTAATGTAAACAGATCTAATTTCAAAACTAGCTGACTTTTTATAAATTTGCACATGTTTGTACTGGTCCCTGGTTTATTTTTAACAAGCAGTGCTTACACAGGATGTTTCATCCATTTCTCTGACGTTATACCACTTTCAACCCATGAATCCGTTAATGAGTATCTGCAAACAACAAATCCCACATACCTTCTTATGCATGATCCTTGTTCTGAGTCTGCAGACCACCCTTATAAGAAGGCAGAGAATATAAATGCAGACAAGAGGGTGTTGATATAAGCTACCAGGTATAGTCCCTTCATTACTGATGACTTGATAAATGACCCTGCTTAAATAATTCTTGTATGCCCCTGTTTCCTCATCTGTTTGGGAACGATAACACTGACTCCCCTTTAAGACTATCTGATCTAAGGATCTGTTAACTGTTAGAAAAACAGCAGCAGGGAGGACCCACCTTCAAGAGAGGGGAGCAATCAACCTAATAGTGTCTCTTTTTGCAAGAAGACACTGTGGATTTGTTGCCAGTCCAGCCCTCCAGTACCGATACTCGCTGTGACGATGTCATGTTGAATTATAGGAAAGTGCCTTCTGTCTGGCACTTATGGAAATAACTAGCTGTGTTTTGACACTCTCTTCATTAGACACCTCCCACCTCAGTGTATGTTTTGGCACTGACTGGTTTAGGGACGCAGTGGGTTTTCTCTATTTGGCTCTTTAACACTGATACCTTCCTACCCATGCCCTATTACCGTGGCTTACTGTTTACGCCAGTAAGGTTTGCAAATCAGCCCTTCTCATGCTGTCGTTACTTTATGCTCTATGTAGATTACGTTTAGAGGGGGGTGCTTATGCTGGAAGAAGCCACTAATTAATGTGTAGTTAAGAAACAATAAACACACACAATTTGGTAGTTGATAAAATGTTATTGCCTTGCTTTTTTTTCTGTGAATCACATGCAGCATCCTGAATGAAAAAAAAAGAAAAAAAAAAAAAAAAAAGAAGCTTATTACATTGGGTTTAGTCTCACTTCTGAAGGAGTGACGCTGACGACAACAGGCACGTGTGTGCATGATCCCATCCATCTCCTTGCTGGCAGGTTGGTCAGTCCTCTGCATTGCTTTTGAATTTGTGCCTTGTCAATTTGAAGTGCATGAGAAGAAGGAACACCCAGGAGGTCACAAAGCTGGGGAAGTTTTACAAGGTTAGGTGACTGCGTGCAGGAGAGAGCCTTGGCAGTGCTCCCACCTGGGCTTGACCCTTGGAGAAACCAGAGTCCCCTGGCTGCTCAGCCACATCTCACAGTGACGCAGGGAGCCCGGCTGCTGCATGCACGTCTGCTGACTCCTGGAATGACTCCTTTGTGTCAGTGCAAAGAGGATAAATCAACCATTTTTTCAAGGAGCCTGCACTTTGTATAGTGAGAAAGCACCATCAGAGCACTGATGTACCCAGAAGTATTATTTACAGTCACTAAGTGACATCATTTTACTTTCTTTGGCTTGGAAACATTTGGAAGTCTATTTCTGTCAGGGTCCTGGGGGTGCTCAGAGGCCTCAGTGGCCGGGACCGGCCTCCCCCGGACCCCCAGCCCCCCCGTCTCCTGCCAAGGGCCCAGGGGACGTGTCTGAGCTCAGCCCGGGGCCTTCAGTCCCTGCCCGAGCGATGCTGTAGCTGTGCCCGTCTCTGCCCCTGTCTCCTGGGGGGCTGGGACCTGCTCTGCAGAGAGCTGCTCTCCTGGAGGGACCCCCCAGACCCGCCTCAGAGCTGCTCCTGCAGAGCGCTCGGCGTGACACGGGGTCACTCTGC